GGGGAGTCCAATTTGGGGGAGTCCAATTTTGGGGAGTCCCAATTTTGGGGAGTCCAATTTTGGGGAGTCCAATTTTGGGGAGTCCAATTTTGGGGAGTCCAATTTTGGGGAGTCCAATTTTGGGGAGTCCAATTTTGGGGAGTCCAATTTTGGGGACTCCAATTTTGGGGAGTCCAATTTTGGGGAGTCCAATCTCGGGGAGTCCAATTTTGGGGAGTCCAATTTTGGGGAGTCCAATTTTGGGGAGTCCAATTTTGGGGAGTCCAATTTTGGGGAGTCCAATTTTGGGGAGTCCAATTTTGGGGAGTCCAATTTTGGGGAGTCCAATTTGGGGGAGTCCAATTTTGGGGAGTCCAATTTTGGGGAGTCCAATTTTGGGGAGTCCAATTTTGGGGAGTCCAATTTTGGGGAGTCCAATTTTGGGGAGTCCAATTTTGGGAGTCCAATTTTGGGAGTTCCATTTTTGGAGCCATTTTTGGGGAGTCCTATTTTGGGAGTCCAATTTGGGGTGAGTCCAATTTTGGGAGTCCATATTGGGGGGAGTCCAATCTCGGGGGAGTCCACTTTTGGGGAGTCCATTTGGGCGCGGCTGTGTTTGGGGAAGTCCAATTTGGGGGAGTCCAATTTGGGGAGTCCATCTCGGGGGTAGTCCAATTTTGGGGGTGTCCAATTTTGGGAGTCCAATTTGGGGAGTCCAATCTCGGGGAGTCCAATCTCGGGGAGTCCAATTTTGGGGAGTCCAATTTTGGGGAGTCCAATTTGGGGGAGTCCAATTTTGGGGAGTCCAATTTTGGGGAGTCCAATTTTGGGGAGTCCAATTTTGGGGACTCCAATTTTGGAGAGTGCAATTTGGGGGAGTCCAATTTGGGGACTCCAATTTTGGAGAGTCCAATTTGGGGGAGTCCAATTTAGAGGAGTCCAATTTGGGGGAGTCCAATTTTGGGGGAGTCCAATTTTGGGGAGTCCAATTTTGGGGAGTCCAATTTTGGGGAGTCCAATTTTGGGGAGTCCAATTTGGGGACTCCAATTTTGGAGAGTGCAATTTGGGGGAGTCCAATTTTGGGGAGTCCAATTTTGGGGAGTCCAATTTTGGGGAGTCCAATCTCGGGGAGTCCAATTTTGGGGAGTCTAATCTCGGGGAGTCCAATTTTGGGGAGTCCAATTTTGGGGAGTCCAATTTTGGGGAGTCCAATTTTGGGGAGTCCAATTTTGGGGAGTCCAATTTTGGGGAGTCCAATTTTGGGGAGTCCAATTTTGGGGAGTCCAATTTGGGGGAGTCCAATTTTGGGGAGTCCAATTTTGGAGAGTCCAATTTGGGAGAGTCCAATTTTGGGGAGTCCAATTTTGGGGAGTCCAATTTTGGGGAGTCCAATTTTGGGGAGTCCAATTTTGGGGAGTCCAATTTTGGGGAGTCCAATTTTGGGGAGTCCAATTTGGGGGAGTCCAATTTTGGGGAGTCCAATTTTGGAGAGTCCAATTTGGGAGAGTCCAATTTTGGGGAGTCCAATTTTTGGGAGTCCAATTTTGGGGAGTCCAATTTTGGGGAGTCCAATTTTGGGGAGTCCAATTTGGGGGAGTCTAATTTTAGGGGAGTCCAATTTGGGGGAGTCCAATTTTGGGGAGTCCAATTTAGGGGAGTCCAATTTGGGGGAGTCCAATTTTGGGGAGTCCAATTTGGGGGAGTCCAATTTTGGGGAGTCCAATTTTGGGGCGTCCAATTTTGAGGAGTCCAATTTGGGGGAGTCCAATCTCGGGGAGTCCAATTTGGGGGAGTCCAATTTTGGAGAGTCCAATTTTGGGGAGTCCAATTTGGGGGAGTCCAATTTTGGGGAGTCCAATTGTGGGGAGTCCAATTTTAGGGAGTCCAATTTTGGGGAGTCCAATTTTGGGGAGTCCAATTTGGGGGAGTCCAATCTCGGGGAGTCCAATTTTGGGGAGTCCAATTTGGGGAAGTCCAATTTGGGGGAGTCCAATTTGGGGGAGTCCAATCTCGGGGAGTCCAATTTGGGGGAGTCCAATTTTGGGGAGTGCAATTTGGGGGAGTCCAATTTTGGGGAGTCCAATTTTGGGGAGTCCAATTTTGGGGAGTCCAATTTTGGGGGGGGAACCAATTGGAAACCAGTTCAAAGGTCTCCCTTCTTTTTTGGGGGGGGTCGTCCGAGTTTGAGACAAACCCTTAGCCACGGAGTCAGAATATGACCTTTGACTCTTCTGGTTCTTGTGGCTCATCAGTGGCTTGTACCTTCCATGTCCCAAGCGACCAATAAGCCTTTCCTTTTGGCGTGACTACTCCCATACAAATCTACGTGGTTAAAAATCCACATATGGCGCCCATCTTCACGCCACAATCCCCGGTTGTCTCGCCGCCTCGACCGGCTCGACCGGGAGAGAGACCGAGCGGCCTGCCACATCGCCCACGGCGTAGATGTTGGCCACGCCGGTCCACTGGTTCCCGTCCACCTCAATCATCTGGGCCCGGCCTCAGCGTGAATTCCCGCAGCAGTCACGCGGAAAACCCAAAGCGCCACGTCTCGGTGTTCTCTGTGTGGCTCCAAAATCGAAAAGCTAGGGTTAAGCCCATGTCTAGCTCAAAATTCATCCTCTAGGGCAAAACGCGGGTGGTCTTTTGGCTCCATTTGCCAATGCCATGTTTGGTACATGTTTTTGAGCAGAGATGGGAGTCATAATCAAAACCGATCGGTATTGAAGTGGTCTACGCAGAAGAATGTAAAGAATAAAAGGGCGGCGAAGGGACCCATTTTGGGCTGGGATTATCCGTACTGATCTTCATCGAAACTCCCCTTTGGGGGACCTCCTTTTGGGCTAACATGGACATTTCCAAAGTACACTCCGTTTGGGGAACACCAAGCTCATGGGTTCGCTCCCTTTTCCCTTACACACCATGCCACCTTTCACGGAGAACAGCTCTAGTCTAGTCGATTTCTGTTGCAGGAATACGCTTTTTGGATGGTTTGAAAGACAGAGCCCCCCACCCCCCAACCCCCAGCCCCCACCCTCCAGCCCCCCAGCCCCCCCAACCCAGCCCCCCTCCCCAACCAGCCCCAGGCCCCAGCTCCGCCCGGCCGCATCCCCAGCGCGCCTGTCTTCACCCCGACCTTCTCCAGCCCCAGGCCCTCCACGCTGCCCACCCGCCCCACCGCCGACAGCAGGCACTCGCAGCGGAAGGAGCCTGGACGCCGATCGCCCGCATCTTGGTCGACCACGAAAACGGGCTCGTTTGTTCACGTGACACGACGAGTTTGCCAGTGGCTATCTATGGGAATCCAAAACGGGCTTGTTTGTTCACCAGGTGTGACACCGAGTTTTCCACTGGCTATTGATAATTGATGGTAATAGCAATAAACCAGGGGAACCGCAAGCCCGTGGTGGAAAATCATCTTACCTACTATGGTATCTGGGAGCAGGCAACTCTTCCAGGCGGCTTTGCATGTTTGTCTTTTTCTTTTAACGAGAAATGCGGAACAACCTGAACTCATCGAAGGAACTGGGGCGTTGAGATAGAGAATAAGCCAAATGATCCAGAAACCGGGAATGGGATCGGCAGACTGTAGTTCATGAAGACGGCGTTTGGTTTCACAATTTGAACAGGGCCTTAGAAGGGTCCGCAGTTGTCTCTTGTTGACAACCCAAGCTGCCCAGTTTCTTCACTCCTTACCCCAACCACAAGCAGACAGCCGCAACTCTCCAGGTTGAACCACAAAGAGGTGCATCGAAATAGGGATTCGGACAGCAAACACCGGTGGATTTCAACTTTTGGCTTCCAGCAGAAGCCGCATACTATCCAGATGTCACCCAAAATCCACCGGAGTCGCGAGATTTCCGCGAGCCTCTGGAAGTCTCCACCAGCAACAAGGGTTTGCCTCGGACACCGCCTTCCAGCGACTGCCTCGCGCGGCTTCGCTCGGCACGCGCTTCGCGCTAAGCCAGCAGGTCCCAGGGTGCAAGTCGCTGCGAAACAAGTCACCCGGTCCCCAGCCCATGTCAGACACAAGTCGGTGATGTTGGCCAGGTAGGGCTGCGGTGAATAAATGCACCAGCTGAGATGAAACATGTTTCCAGTCAAAGCTGTTCTAAATCACGGGCAACACTCAAAAGGCGCCCTTGAACATGCATGGTTCCCTGCAGATCGTCCGAAGGTGTTCCTTGAAGATGCGTGGTTGCCCAAAACAAACTTCTCAACGAAATGCCTACAGACGACGAGCGAAAGACCAGTTTCGTGTTTGGCAGAGGCAGCATTGTCAGCACCACCAGCATTGCTTTGACCACGGCTGTGTCATAGTCATTCTTCTGACTGTGACAGTGGGCATGTTTGAAATTGCCTCACACCTTGCACGGATGCCAAAACAATTCGGTTGGTAAAAAGCCGTGTCAGTCACAATCAGACCTACTAAAGACTGAGAATACAAGGTTAACCTAATCAACTGTGGAAAAACCAAAAAATCAAAAGGTCAGTGTTGAACAGTTGAGTGAGTCAAACAAAAACGCGTCAAGCATCAAAAGAGCGGGTCGCCTAGTTTGGCTTGGACTCTTCCCTCCTCGTCGAATGTACGCGTTGTTCGCCGAGTTGCACAGAAGTGATGCCCGTCTCCAGCAAAATCTCCACCTTGTTCGCCGCCAGATCCGCCAGCAAGGCTGCCTTCCGCCGAACGAAGTGAGGAAACATGTCGGAAGGAAAGAAGCAAACTACGAACCACCCCAAGAAACGCGTAAAATGCACGGCTTTGTCTCCAATAGGAACCCTACGAAGCTCAACGTCGTTGGAGAACTGGACCAGCGGATTCGGAATGTCCCACCGTGTGCGGCGAATCGTCCATTTCTTCGCGGCGAATCGTTTCTGAATCGCCGACAAAGAAGAACAAACGCGCAAGAGGACTCCGGCTTACACACACACACACACCAGTTGGCAGCCTGCAAGGTGGGAAACACGTCAGCCCCGTCTGTTCGGGGAAAACTGCATTTGTCTCACGATGGCAATTGCCTTGCTTGGGGAAGGTTTGCAAGTGGCAATTGCCCTGCTTAGGGAAGGTTTGCAAGTGGCAATTGCCTTGCTTGGGGAAGGTTTGCAAGTGGCAATTGCCTTGCTTGGGGAAGGTTTGCAAGTGGCAATTGCCCTGCTTGGGGAAGGTTTGCAAGTGGCAATTGCCTTGCTTGGGGAAGGTTTGCAAGTGGCAATTGCCCTGCTTGGGGAAGGTTTGCAAGTGGCAATTGCCTGCTTGGGGAAGGTTTGCAAGTGGCAATTGCCTTGCTTGGGGAAGGTTTGCAAGTGGCAATTGCCCTGCTTGGGGAAGGTTTGCAAGTGGCAATTGCCCTTGCTTGGGGAAGGTTTGCAAGTGGCAATTGCCTTGTTTGCAAGTGGCAATTGCCTTGCTTGGGGAAGGTTTGCAAGTGGCAATTGCCTGCTTGGGGAAGGTTTGCAAGTGGCAATTGCCTTGCTTGGGGAAGGTTTGCAAGTGGCAATTGCCTTGCTTGGGGAAGGTTTGCAAGTGGCAATTGCCTTGCTTGGGGAAGGTTTGCAAGTGGCAATTGCCTTGCTTGGGGAAGGTTTGCAAGTGGCAATTGCCTTGCTTGGGGAAGGTTTGCAAGTGGCAATTGCCTTGCTTGGGGAAGGTTTGCAAGTGGCAATTGCCTTGCTTGGGGAAGGTTTGCAAGTGGCAATTGCCTTGCTTGGGGAAGGTTTGCAAGTGGCAATTGCCCTGCTTGGGGAAGGTTTGCAAGTGGCAATTGCCTTGCTTGGGGAAGGTTTGCAAGTGGCAATTGCCTTGCTTGGGAAGGTTTGCAAGTGGCAATTGCTTGGGGAAGGTTTGCAAGTGGCAATTGCCCTGGGAAGGTTTGCAAGTGGCAATTGCCTTGCTTGGGGAAGGTTTGCAAGTGGCAATTGCCCTTGCTTGGGGAAGGTTTGCAAGTGGCAATTGCCTTGCTTGGGGAAGGTTTGCAAGTGGCAATTGCCTTGCTTGGGGAAGGTTTGCAAGTGGCAATTGCCTTGCTTAGGGAAGGTTTGCAAGTGGCAATTTCCTTTCTTGGGGAAGGTTTGCAAGTGGCAATTGCCTTGCTTGGGGAAGGTTTGCAAGTAAAAAGAAGAAACTAAATATAACCAGAACCTTTCGGAAGAGTCCCTGATGTCCAGTCACCGCTCTCCAATCATGAAAGCTGACAGAAGGCCTTCGGAAGACTGGCGAACGGGAACCCCTGATCCTCCAATTCCATGTTAGAAAGAGGGGACCTGTGTTGAATAAGCTGACCCTGTGGACATCATTCCAAACTCATTCTCTTAGGGGACCCCTCCAAAATGGTGGTTGTCCTTTTGGTTCCCCTTCAATACCAGGAAAGAAAGTGGTACCTTCAAACAATAGACACCCCCATACGAGTCTTGTGTGTCCTCTTGTTGCCGCCTGCAGGTCCTTGTCCAGCATCTGCAGCATCTTTGCTGCAAACTCGACCACCACCACCTTGGCACCCAGCTTGGCGAACATGTTCGCGTACTCCAGGCCTGTCCACGCAACGTTGGGTGAAAAATGGAATACATGGCCACGGCCATGGTGAAACAACCCGTTTTCCGCAGCTAGTGGCAGGGGGATAGTGCACATCTTGGACAGAGCATGAGGAGCATGAGGGCATTTTCGGCACGGCTCCTTTCAAGTTGTTTTTCAGTTCCTGCTGGTCGGAGCCGTGGTGCCAGGCCAGGAGCATGACTTACCTGCATTTATTCCGCAACGCAGAAGTCTGTGTGTCTAGATGCACATGAATGCGCTGTTAGGTTCGTGTGCTTATCCATGCTTCAATTTGTTCATCTATTGCTCAAATCTGGCGATGATTTGCTTCCATCTCTGGGAAGCGTGTAACGTGAGCTCAAACGTTGCTTTATGCTTGTGCTTCACGCTAAAGCTTGCAACACCTGCCCAGCTGCTTTGAAAAGGCAGCTCCCAACTTGTCCACCGAACACCCAAAGCTGCGCTGGAAACGCTCAGCCGATTTATCCTGCCTATGATCCCAGCACCCTGGACCACCATGGTCTTGGGGATGAAGTCTAAGCTGCTGATGGAGTCCTCACTACGGAAATCAAAGCTTCGCCTGAGACCTTTGGAGGACAAACGGGGAGCCTCTTGAAAACCTCAAACTGTCCGAAATGAATCAGAAGGCTCGCCGGACCTGGTCGACCGAAGGGAAGACCAGACCAACCTTTGTGACCTGGGCGAATTCGCATAGTTTCCATCCTAACCGCCCATGGACCTCAAATAGCATAGATAACCTGGCCTGGCCTCCACAAAGTGTCCCCAAGTCCCCAAAACCCTTTCAGCTCTTTCAGCTCCAAACTGTTGCAACTCAAAAGAAAAGCGAAGACAAACGCGAAGCGTCGGAGTCGAAGACCCCAAAGAGCTCGAAGGGGATCATCGACAGGCGGTTGGCGTGTGACCCAGTAGCCACCACCACGCCGTGCCCGCTGCGCAGCGTGCGGCGAGCGGCGCCCTCGGTTTCATCCGGGAAAGGGCCTGTGGATTTAAGGAGTTCACCAAAACCCTGCGGCCCAAATTAAGAAAAAGAGGTTGGGGTCCTTTTGTTGCTTGAACATGTTTGAACCACACCAAGCTATTTAAAAGGCCCTCCTTCTTTTGGCTCAACCGGGCCGCCTTGTTTACATCAATGTGGCCAACCCCGCCTCCAAGCATAGCGTGGAGGCGTCCACGAAGGACGCTGCGCCCTGCAGGACGTCCACGTGGAAGCTGCGGAGAAGGCGCATGGTGCTCTCATGCGCGCTCAAGGTGATCCTCGCCGAAAAAAATGCGAGCGAAGCCGCAAAGGAAGGCGGCACGTCTTCCATGGAAGCATCTTGAGGGCAAAGAAATCTAAGGGGTTTAGGGTTCCACTACCTGCAAACCAGTAGCCCCGAGTACATACCCTTGGTATAGAGTCCACATAGTCCTTGAATACCTTGACTTTCCCTTGGGAGTAGCTGCTTGCCTTGCCCAAGACAAGCTCAACCAAGGCTCTGCTGAACCATGTCATGGATCTCTGGCCAAGTCCACTTCTTTGCCATCACCTTGGATCTCAAGCTTCAAGCATCCATCTCGCTCAATGCTCACAGACCTCTCGGCCGTGAAACAGGCCATGGTTGTCTAGGGTCAAACGTTGGTAGCTGGCGGCCCATACTGTTTCTGTATGAAGTCCCGGCAGTATGTCTGCAAAGCAAAACCTTCCCAGCTCACATTGCATCCCCCCAGCTGTGGAGTGGATGTTCCACTCGGGGGGAGCAGCCTCCGACCCAAAACAGAAGCAAAAATCCCGGCTGGCCATGTTCCAGGCCCAACCGGCCACGGGATCTGGTGTGTTTTGTCCAGTTTTCCTCCCGGCTTCTTTCATTGACGTTTGTTCATTCTTTCTTGTCCCCCATGGTTTCCTCCATCCGTTCTATGTACAAATTCCAGAGTATGTCCAGAACCTGAAATAAAGGATCCTCAAGCAAAGGATCTACATCACAGTGTGCGCGAATGTCAACTTGAAACCCAGAAAATCGCATTTCCCTTCCCCAAATCCCAGGTGGCCAAATGAAAAAGACATGGGCGCCTCGAAGGGACGCCCCACCCCCCCCACTCCCCCCCAAAAAAAAGATAAAATAAAAATAGAACAATAAAACAAAAATAGAAATAACTAAAGGACCCCCCCCCTCCACCCCCCCACCCGCCCACCCCCCAGCCCCCCACCCCCAAAACCAAAAGGACAGCCACCGCTGCACTTCTCTCAACCATGAGCCGAGGCGCAGCCTCGCGGATGCACTTGGAGTACGCCCCCGTGGGCGCCCCCGTGGGTTTCGCCAGAGGCTCCACCACGGCCACGTGCAGCCCACGGCCCGCCGCCTCTAAGGCCGCCTTGACCCCGGCGGGCCCGCAGCCCAAGACAAGCAGATCGTAGCCTCCGCTTGGAGTCACGAAAACTCCACACGACTCAGCCCCAACCCCAAGGCGCACAACCCAGCCCATCCAACCCAACTCTTCTCTCTTTTATTGCTGGTGCTCAGAGAATCAACGGTTGGCAATGACAATGGGTAAGGAAGCTGAAAGGGATGGTCTTCCTTCCCTACTCAGAACCGGCAAGTTGTTGGGGTTCGCCTTTTACATCCGGGCGAGCTTGGCTGGGGACGTGATTTGGACACGGGTCACGAGATTGTTGGAGAATCACATCTCCAAGAAACACTGGTTCCCAAATTCCGACCTGCTTTGAAATGGGTGTCTGCCTGATAGCCCCTGGTCCCCAAGAGCAACATTCGACTCAGGAGCCTAAAAACAACAAGGACACGAAAGAACACGCAAACAAACGTCACGGCGTCACGGCTTGGTCCGCTCTCCCAGAAAAATAAGCGATTGGGGGTGCCAAACCCCCGGCCCCGGGCGTGAATACATCCTCCAAAGCAGTCAATCAGTTATATATTCTTTGTTTGTTTCTGGCCGTCCCGGCGTGATCGGCACGAAAATGCTGGCTCAATTGGCCGCAGTTACATGAAACCGCCAAAAGCATGCCGACTTTCACAAGATGTCGGCATGAAATGGCAGCCGAAAACAGAATGAGAACCTTTCGTGGACATCATTTACGTGGGGGAGGGGGGAGGGGTTCTGTCCGCATAGCTGCTGCCTTTCGAGTCCCACCGACACGTGATTGCCTCGCGCACAAGATTGAGTGGCCAAACCAATTGTTCCATAAATCAGCCGCACACACGTGGTGGGCTTCCTCTTGGTGTCCAAAACAGGGGCTACCTATGAGACGCCCCACACACCCCACAAGGAGCCAACCTCGAGGGCTGATTGACTCCTGCTTCGGAGAGAAAGAATTGCTTTTTGGCCCAGAGAGGAGACATGGGCATCAAAGTAGGCGGACTTTGCCAAAAGTTAGTCAAGTAAACCAACCTGTACACATATATACATATAATATATATATATATATAATATATATATATATATAATGGTTGCAGCACCCCATAGTGCAAGTCTTACTTGTCCAAAGGGCCTGGACATGAAAGCTGAAGCACTTGAAGCCTGGTTGAGGTCGCTAGGCTTGGTTTTGGGCTACGTCGGTTTGGGCTTGAAAAGAATGGGCAAATGGTCGATCGGCCGAGGCGCTTGTGATGCTGGGCACGCAAGGGACAGGGGGATCTCGGGGCTCGTCGTGGCTTAGGACCCGGAGGAACTCACTGAAGTCAAACCTGCGACCACAGTCATCAAAACCGATCGGTATCAAACATAGGCGTCCTTTTTGGGGGAAATAGATGGCCCTGGTAGATGATTCAGCCACCAGGTAAACCAGGGCCCATCTATTTCTCTACCAAAACAACCAGAAAGGACACCTATGGTATTAAAATGGTCCAAGCCCAAAGCCATGCAAAGAATCAACAAAGCTGCGCAGGCGCCCGTTTAATGCCAAGCCTTTCCCATCTTAGCCTTCATCTAGCCGCATTTTGAGCAAGTGGCTCAGTTGAGCGGCGCCCTTTGACCCATCCTTTGCTTCTCGTGCGTATCGAGTTGCGGGAGCCGCTTCAAGGGCACCAAACGGGCCAACAGCGCCACGACGAAAATTTCACTTCCGGGGAGTCCCTTGGCCTTCTCCATCGAGATCTTTTTCTTGCAGACCAAAACCCGGAAATGTCGCCACGACCGCCATTGTGGGTCAAACAAATAAGTACGTGGAGCCAAGACCAAAATCTGTGGCTCGCTGGCTGAAGCTTGAGCCACACGGCGGGCTTTCTAAGAAGCTCCTGAAAGTGAAGCTGTTTGTTGGCGTCACAAACCCGCCGAAGCGATAAACCGAAAATTAAAAAAAAAAAAGGCCGCGGATCTATTTCGGGAATGCTTTTCGATTTTTGTGTTTTTTGTGTTTTTTTTTTTGGGGGGGGGGATTTTTCAAACAAGAAACAAGACGATGTGGCCCCATTCAACGCACCCGCTGAATGGGCTGGTAGCGACACTGGCGGAACGGTTGGGCCAATGGCCGTGTAAATGCAAATGCGAAAACTAGAGATGACTTGACATTATTTGGCATGTTCGAAGGCAACCCAAAAGGAAAACTGATGAACTCTGCCACTTGCAAGCGTAACGAGTTTACTCCCAAAAACTTCCTTTAAAAGCAGCTACAACGATAGAGTGGCAGTACCACCGCACACCGCCCTCTTTTTCAGAGAAGAACACCATTCGGGGCGAAAACCCGAATCCGAGGTCCGGCCTCCTGTGAGCATCGCCCGGGATGCATCCCAGCAGCGCCGTGATGTGCTTGGCGCCCAGGCCCACTCGCAGCAGCACGCCTGTTATACGAACAACATGAGAAGCTTGTTGGGTCATGGAAATGAGGGAGAAATACCGGTGACCGACGGAAATACCCGCCTTTATTTGTTTGTGTGGTTGTGTTGAGGGACTTGGCGCATTGGCGTGCCTTGCCTGCATGGGAAGTGAAGAACAAGTACCATGTGTAATTAGTTTTGAAAAGGGCACATTTCATGAGCCTTTTAAAGATGTGCTCTCTTCAGAACACACGATGCCCAACGAACACCATCGCGCAGACTTTGTCGCGAACAACAACTCGGGCACGTCAACTGTTGTTAAGTTGATGGATGTTTTCTTGGGCCTTGGGCTGACTTGGATTCGAAATATACTTGTTCCCATGAAATGATTCGTAATCAGTTTCACAACTCTTGGTTTGTTCACACAGGTATATGCCAAGACTCACCCTTCGAATTAGCGTGTATGTCAAAAAGGAAGCGACGCCTAGGGGGCATTCTCTTGTGAAGACCGTCCAGGCCCTCACCGACGAGAAGTGCCCGTCGGTTTTGCCCGCCTTCGAGCTCGTGCTTGGTGAGGCAGCCATCTCCCACCTCCTGCGCAAAGGCCTTTTGGACCTCGTCCATGGCTCATTTGAGCCTGAAACCGCGACAAAGAGACAGAGAGAGAGAAATAGAGAGTGAGAGAGACTGCAGCGCAAGAAAACCGCCAGAGAAACTTGTGGCAAAAAGTCAACTGCTTTGAAAGGGCACGCCCAAAATAGAACACAGGCTAGTTCTTCCAACTTTGGCTCAAACAAAAATCCTTCAGCAATTGCCCTGGCCAACATGCTGTCCCTGGCCCCTTTTTAAAAGCTCGGCGCCAAGTTCTCCTCGCGTGCGGCCGATTCAGCCGCCACTGCCCGGCTCCCTTAGGGCCGCCGGGCACTCAACGGACCCACCAGGACCTTCCCACGTTCGTGGGGCAGGTTCCGGCCGTCCCCCCGCTCACAGCGAAACGTGGGCACGTGGTGGAACCTGCCGGAAAAGGAAGATGCGTGTGTCTTTTTGTGGTTGAAGTGATTCCGCATAATGTGCAGCTCAAAAATCGGAATGCGCGAAGTTCGAAAGAACCTCCGGCCAACCAGCTGTTTTGCGCACCCTTCTGCTGTCTCAAGTCCCGTAATCCCTTTTAACGCTGAGTTTGGCAAAAGGGCGGTTGTTTTCGGAGACCTCTTTCCCACTCCAAAAGAACATGTTGTGCTTTTGTTGGAACTTCTCATGGAGAACTTTGTGAGTTCTAAGCCCTGGAGAACATGTTGGAGCACAAAGGACAACAACTACTTCAGGGTCCGAAGCCCAGTGGATGCTTGCAAACTAGAACTCAGCGGCCTTATATGTTGGACATGCCCCACCCAAGCAGCTTTCTAGAACCCGGCCCCTGAATGCGCTTGACCCTCACAACAAGTAATACACAAAAATATGGTTTGGATGGCTGAACTCAACGGGGCGCTTTCTTTTTTACCAGTGGTCATTACAAGCTGGCAATTCAGCCAGGGATCTATGGCGAGACTTGACGTGTCAAAGCTCCGACTCTCCGTTCAAGTCACTGTCAGCTCTACGGGCCCCTTATCCCAGGCCTCGCGGGGAGCTTGTCCGGCTCTTGCCCGGCCCAGGTGGCTTGCTGCGGCCACCGCCTCTCATAGGACAGCCTCGATTTGGGCTCGAGTTCACGAGTTTGAGCCAAGGAAGCAAACAGCGAATGATATTTGGCTGGTCAAAACCCTGTACTGGTGGACATCAAAATAGGTGGCAAATGGATGTTCATCCCCAAATGGCTCGCCATGCCGGGTCCCTCTTTGGAGCGGTCAAGATGTTTTTGCTTTCCGCTGTAAAGGGTTGATGACATGGAGCACGCGAGTAACATGATGAATTACGTGTTACCCGAAAAAATATACAACAAACACAAAATGTCATTGGGGGTTGGGGGACACAATGAATATTGACATGACAACCGATGACAATATGGATTTAACATGACTCTATGTGACCAAACGGCCATATAGATCTTTGAACATGATTGACAAGTATGTCATGCTCAACTCTTCGTAAGACCAGTCATTCATACTTATATTCGGTGCGATCTCGGCAAGTGGCCAGACGCTGGGTGCCCGGACTGCTCCTTCTTCAAAACAGGCTGTCTGCTAAAGTCGGGCTCCTTCGCTTGTCAAAACGAATGCTCCACGTTGAATTAGGCTTCGCCCCGCTGGGTGTGGTTGATATTTGGTGAGCTGCCCCATGTCCAAATCTCCCAAATGCACCATCGACTGAAGTTTTCAGAGCAGGCCCTTCACTCAACAAGAACGTGGCGCAGCTCTCAGAAAGTGATATACAACCCACCTACTTTCCAACCCTCTTCTTATCCTGCTTTTTCGAACATCTTACGACTTCGGCACAAGCACCATGGGTTCATCCCACACACTCGAGCACGACTCACTTTGAACACGCTGGTTCGTCCCACTCTTTTCGCCACCACCTGCCTCAGCCAGCCTCAAGGGTCTTTGCACAGGGTTCGTGCAGACACCCCCTCGATTCAGCACTGGGCTGGGTGTTTTGTTTCTAATCGGCGCCTGGCAGCGCCGGCCAACTCTGCAAACATTTCCTCGTTTTCCGGGAGCACCGGCAGTTCAAACCGACATTGGAAGAAAAACGCTTCGGTTCTCAGCCCGGTCCTTGTCGGGCTTTGGCAGGTGGCGGAACCTGAAAGCCAGAAAACGGCTTGGAGAAATATCTATATATATATATATATATATACATATATATATATATATGTACTATATATATATATATATCCCATCCAGAGAGGTGTGCCGTCTCATGCCGTAAAGAAACTAGAACATTTGAGTGGGTCGCGAAGTGAGAAGCTAATGTTGGGGGGGAATTGCTTCAAAGGAAAAATGTAGAAAACCAACTGCCTGGAGGTGTTCCCTAGTTTGGCGAAGCACCACGAAAAACACGTCTAAACCGATCAAATCGCCAGCGCCAAGATGCTGGAAACAGACGTAATGCGGCTCCAGGCCGTTTGCATCCCAACCCTCTTGCTCTGATCTGGGCTATATTGCCGGCCAAATGAGCCACCTGCACCTTCCAGCGGTGCTCAATATGAGTTGAACCCCTCCAACTGGTTCCTGTTTGCTTTCCCTCAAAGATCGAAAGGAGCCCCCGAGTTGAGGGAAAGCCATAGCCCACATCCATTCCAAGAAAACTGAGGCCCCCTTTTTCACCATTCCGACTTAAAAGGCCACTGGCACCAGGGGGCAAAAAATATGCCGGAACCAGCCGGGCCCCCGAGCTTCAGGTCGGCTGCAGCCTTCACCTGGCCCGATGCGCGGCCGAAAACCCGGTCAAGGGAAAAAGGTCGGACCCTTCTTTGAAGGGAAAACCAAAAGACACCACCCACCTTAGGCCGACGCGAGAGGCCGGCCAATTTTCCAGGTTCACAACATAACCGAAAGAAACAACCCACCATTCAGCTGTCACACACCCCTCATTTCAAACCGGGTCCCGGCTGGGTTAAACTTTAAAGGGGCCCGGATCGGATACAGGGCTGGTCCTTTGCACCACCACCATCATCAGCAGAGTGAAGTTCTGTGATTAACTCGCTGCTTCACTTCTAGCCACGAGAACAATGAAAAATGCATCAAGTCTCACAAGATCCGTCTCAAGCCGCACCCCAAGTTTTGGCATACCTCTGGCAAACTCAGAGTCGTGCAGAATAGCAGGTCAGCAACAAAGAGACCGAGTGTACCTCCTTGAAACAAGAGTGCACCAACACGGGCGATGCGACGGTAGGGGAAGGCCCAGGATGCCAAGGGCGATGTTGACAGAAGCGCAAGTCCGCTTCCTTTAACAGTATGCATCACCGGGTCTCAAAACGAATGTAGCACCCTCCCTCCAACAAACAAAGCTGACTGCAGGCTTCAGAAAGACAGCTTTCCTTTTGGGGAAGCTGTCCGCTTCCATGATTGTCGGAGGGAGGGTATTCCTTAGTGGGGGGGTCGATTTTTGTTGGGCCGGCCATTTACACCCCGCCGACTGGGCGCCCAAAGGCGCAACGCGCGAAGCCAAGCGCGGCGAGGGGCGCCGATCCACCCGAAGGGCGCCTCAGCCCGCCCAGGTCCGCCCGTTCCGCAGCTGAAGACCTTCAATATCCCCAAGCCAACCAAACAAACAAGACATATCAGCATGCATCAACCAAAAAGTTGTGCACCGTCATGGTACAAATGCGCCCCGACCAACAATATGAAAACCAATATGGATGAACTGGCATTGGGGAAAGGCTTGAATGTATGATCCTTCAGTTGCTGCCTGACGCCTGTCGTGCTGGGCTTCTTGCCAAACCAGTATCACACTGTCCCCACTAACCTCCAATTATTCCTACATGTCCCCCCCGAAAGCAGGAATTGGCTCAAATTGCATGGGTTTTTTAGAAGTCGGAAATGCAAGCCTGATTGCGTACTGAGTCAGGCAACCGTTTCGTCAACTGGAAATGAGACACTGGGTGGGTGGGTGGGTGGGTGGAGTGGGCGGGTGGAGTGGGTGGGTGGTGGGCGGCTGGGTGTGGGCACTATGTCCTTGGGTTCCCCTCAAACCACTCACAAAGGTACCAACTAAAAAGAACTACAACCAACTTGTGTCAAAAAAGTCTGCCCCAAGCCCGTGCTGAATGACAAAAAGCTTACTTTCCACAATTAGAGGAGACCCACTTGTTTCGATTGCTCGCTTCCCCTTTTGGAGCCTCGACTGCCACAAGTTGATCAATTTACTGCCAAACAATCGCCACTTGGGAGTGGGCCAAAAAGTCAACAGCTGGGGTTTCGGTTTTGTAAACCCTTTCCATTTACCAGGTTTCCATTCTTGGTACCCATGTTTGACCCACAGCCACTTAGGCACTTAGGGCCGCAAAACGCAAAAAAAAAAAAAAAAAGACAGGGATCCCGACTTGACTCGAAGCCAACTCACAGAAGCTCCGAGGAGAACGAGCCAACACAAGACAAACCTGCAAAGCGCATCAAATGCTCCCATTCCAAAGACTTCCAAAGAAATCCCTCCTCTCGCCTGGTCGCCCGTTTTTCAATATCTACCAGGCGAACCCAAAACCCCGTTTATTGCAGGTCGCATGAGATCCGCCCCTCTTGGAAATCTAGGCTTCCCGCAAAACACAAAATGTCCCTGGAATGAAAACCAGAAAAAGAAAAGCAAAACGCGTGGGGTCACCCAGCTTCGGCTGGATTGGTTTGCTTTGGAGGCTAGGAAGCAATTTCCCATTTAGCCCCTGCAAGCAACTGGTAAGGTACCTGTCAATACTGCGACCTGACTTGACAAATCAGCTCCCTGGCCAACTCGGGCGAGCCGCCGCCGCGCCGACAGGGGCAAAGGCGTCCCCGGCACAGGCGTGGCTGCTGCCCCGGGCGCCGCGGCCAAGGGCGGCACCAGCGGTGTCGCCGGCACACGGGGCGACGGTGGCACCTCGGTGGAACAGGGCGCGATGCCAAATGGAAACCAAGCCTGGCAGGCGAGCAGGCAGGCAAGCAAGCCAGGCAGAACAATTCAAGCAACCAAACAAAGCAAGCAAACAACATACCAAGGCAAGCAAGCAAAGAAGCAAGAAAGGAAGCAATAGCAAGGCAAGCAAGCAAGCAAGCAAGCAAGCAAGCAAGCAAGCAAGCAAGCAAGCAAGCAAGCAAGCAAGCAAGCAAGCAAGCAAGCAAGCAAGCAAGCAAGCAAGCAAGCAAGCAAGCAAGCAAGCAAGCAAGCAAGCAAGCAAGCAAGCTGTCTGGAAAGATTCCACTGGCCAAACGATCAAAACCAATCAAAATGAGCCGTCCACTGGGTCGGTCCAGCCCTTAAACCATGGTGTAAGCCGCTATTGTTCAAACAGCTCATGTTAGTTTTGTTTTTGGGACCGAAGCTTGGTTGGACTGAGTCGGCAGGTGAACTTCTTCAAAAACACCTCTTGGTGTCCTTTTCATTTGGCCACGGGTCGAAATCCAAATCGTACCCCCAGGGAACATCCCAATCCGCACTAAAATCGACTAGAATGGGTGGGGCACCTACCCCAACATGGTACCATTGGTTTTGAACCATGGCGATGTCAAAGCCATCCAATGTTCAAAGCTCACGTCGAGCCGCTGAGCAGCGTGGCTTCGCAGCTGATCTTTACAGGGGCTGCAGCTTAATGGCTTCGTCGCGGGAACCCCAAAATACGGCAAGGGCTTCAATATGAACCAAAAAGGAGAATAAGAAGAAAGAAAAAAATGGAGAAAAAAAAAAGGAAAAAATCCAACAAAAAGCAAAAAACCAAAACAAAACGAACAAATAAAACCTCAGTACAAAGGATGCACTTTTTTCCGGCTCGAGGCCCGGGCTCGGCTAAAGCCGCTGCCGGTCTCGCCTTCCGATTTTGGTGGATCCCAAATCATTCTCCCTGGCAGCAAGAGAAAGCTGACTGGCAACGCATGCGTAACCCAACGGATGTGTACATCTGAGCCCTGGACCCAAACTACTTGGTTCTCCCAAGGCACATGGGAAACAACAAATGTCCCTGGAAGCTGGGGTTGTTGTCGCTCAATCTCAGTCGCGAAAGCGACCGAGAGAGCGCCCTTTCCCTGCCTTGCGAAAGTAGATCGCCGCCTCCATGGAAAAACAAAGAAGCCAAGTAAGCCCCGGCGGTGTTCCAAACCCTCTTTGCACCCACGGAATAGCCGCTCACCTCTCCAGAGATCTTGGCCGAGACAGAGCGTTTTAGCTAACGAGCTGCGCTTGGCCTAAGAAATGCCTAGGCCTAGCGACTTGAAAAAAGTCGGCTAAAAATCAGCGAGACTTGCGAACTGTCACTTCGCCGAATGTTTGATGGACACACACACAGACACACACACAGAGAGACACACAGACGCACAGACACACAGACACACAGACACACAGACACACAGAAACACAGACACACAGACACACAGACACACACACACACACACACACTCACACACACACACACACACACACACACTGACACACGCGCTTTTACAAGATGAGGTAATCACATCAAACCGCCCACCACGAGCTGGTGACGGGTTTGCTCTGTTGCAGACTGCTGCGGAGGCTCCCCGCCAACCTGGCTTCATTTGTTTCGGGGAAAAGGCCGGCCATGAACATGATCGCGAAGGCCACCATGAGGACTCCCTGCACTATGAGAACTGTATATGCCTTCTCGCCAAAGCAGGCGGATGGTCTGGCCAGGATCAGCTTGATGATGATGTTACTTTCGGGCCTTGGGCGAACGGCCCCGAGAACGAGAAAGCAAAGGCCAAAGCCGATCAGGATGGCACCGATCATCTGGCGTCTCATGTTGGCCAGCGCGAGAATGGGATCCTGTGAGTGGAGCTTGTAGCGCTGCCAGCGGCTTCTCGCAGCTTCTGGAACTCGGGCTGGATGCGCTGGAGCGCAGCTCGGGGGAGGCTGCTCAGAACTATCAAAGGCCGAGCCCTGCGGCACAAGCTCGGTGTCTCTTTTTGAGGTGTAAAATGACAGACCGGCGAGGTGAAGATCCTCCGAGCAACTCCATTGCTGTTGAGAGGAGACCCCTCGAACTCCGAGCCGCGAGCCCCGTGCCAACTCGTACTCCCAGCCCCGACAGCCTCGATGTGGACCCTTAGGACCTATGAACGGACGGCTCGTCCAACAAGGTGATTCGTGCCCCTCGAAAATCTGAACCACCCACTCATCACTTGGCCGTGGGTCAAAACCAATAAGATCCCATTTTGGGGTAGGTGAATTCACCACCCATTTTAGGACCTATTTTAGTGGGGATTGAATCGGATGTTCACTGGGAGCATGGAATTTTGAGTTTTGACCCATGGCCATATGGCAGATTCGGCTTTGGGAAGACATTTCTGTATCACAGAAGCGGATTCCATTTCCCACAGCCCTGCATTTGACCCTATGCTTTGGCCTAGGCATAGGTTGGACTCTTCAAAACACGGCCGCCTCTGGGCCGCACCGGCGAAGCGCTCAAGCGCAGCTCCTACAGCGATAGACCCAAATCGCCCGGTGTGTTGGGTAGGAAAACTTCGATGTATATATCTGTACATGTCATAAATCCCTCAAAAAAAGACCTAGAAACTAAACTTCGAAGGGTGTGGCTGATTCGGAACCAGGTTTCGACCAGATGTGTCTCCAAAACTTGTCGATAGCTTTGTGATGTTTTTTGTGAAGGCATTTGTCCTCCCCAACCGATCGATAGCCAGTCATTCGCTGACTGCTCCGCTTGGAGCCCTGTCCTGCAAGAGCTCTTGTGCCTCCCGCAAGGGATCGTACCTCGCGACGGTTTTACTGAAGGCAGTGGATGGCATCCGTCAAACCCTTTGCGGAAAAATCGATCTCTCCCATTCGGACTAGATTGCTGGAAGCTTTGCGGCCCTTTGGACCTGCGTGCAAAGTGGCAAATGCGGCAAAGACCTTCCAGCGTATTTAGGTATCGCAGATCGAGAATTTCAAGAATGGGAAAGTCTGTTTGGCCCCAACTAGGGCGCCAAACTTTTCCAGAACCCATTTCAGGTGCCATGGTCCATTTCTTAATGGGGGCCTTTGGGCAAGTCAACGTCTCAGGTCTCAGGTCGCAGGTCGCGCGCCTCTGAAAGAAGATGCCGGGATTGTCGATGTAGGCCGGGTCCAGCATGGCTCGGGTTCCCGGGTGCTGACACGAAGGGTTCCATACGGAAAAACGAAGGGAGTCTGTTCGAACACAAGTGGCGAAAAAAGTATCTTGAGACATCTTACAAGGGATTGAATCGCTCCCTGCTGTCCATGGCGTGCGGGTTTGTAGGCAAGCCCCCCATTAATCGTGGCAGCTAGCAATCAGGAACGATGCCTGCCGCTCTGAGCTCATGCCAGCAATGCACGGGTCAAGCGTACACAAGTCAAGCGACACTCTGTGCCAAATCCAGGATGTTTTTTTCTGGGGGTCAAGGAACCAGCAAGCCAAACCTGGCTTTGACCCAAAATGTGAGCACCGGAGCTGACCGCCAAGCCACCACGAGTTCACCCAAAAGGGCGGCCCAAGAAATGCCCAGGCCCCAAAAAACGAAACAAAAGAACCGCGGAGCTCATGGCGGTTGGTGAAACCACTGAAAATTTGGCAACACCTCCGAGGAATCCATCTGGACCATGCGGGCTCCGAGTCTTCGCGTCGCGTGCTCGAGTCTCGCTGAGCGCTCCAGTGGTGTTCAATGCGAACGTGCAGCCAGGCCGGCCTTGCAAGCCGAAAATCAGGTGAGCAGCGCCCAAGTGAGTCATGATCGATCGGTATTAAAACTGTGTACCCAACAAAAATGGCAAGAATATAACAAGACGGCGAAGGCAGCAATTTGTGGTTGGGGCTATTTCTTTATTAACCCTTATTTACTACCTATTGGCCATGTTAGGCGGAACCATACGGTTACATGAAGGTCAACTACAGTGAGGGCTTTCTAAATACCCAGAACCAGATTGCTAGCACACTCGATGTGTTTTGGGCGCTGCCCACGTGGACTATGGAAAACTCTCCAGCTTGGCCGGAGTTTCAGTCCCAGTCAGCATCAGCCAGCCAGCAGGTGGTCTCATCCAGTGCCAAACGGCTCGGGAACCAGTCGGGTTTCTCCCGTGGATCGCGACCGTCACTTGGCCAACCGATGCAAATCCCGCACACCAAGTGCTCGTCCTGCGTGCGACGATACCCCGTTCCCTGATTAAGTCTGAGTGAAGAACCAGCGCCCCTCTGAACAAAGTACTACGTCAAGCGAGTTTTGACCAGCGCAGCAGCAAGGTGCACGGCATGCCGTGCTTGTTATACTCGAATCCATTTGTGGAAAGGAGGTCCTTCAACCAAGTTTCCCACCAAGAACAAGCAGATTGCAAACATGGCTACTTGCTGTTAAAACCATGCTTGTGTTCCTTGTCATGTTCCGATGAAATCATCAAAGTTGCTTCTTGTTTGTTGGTGCGCCTCTGAACAGCCCCCCCAACCAAAGCTGCTCAACTCTTTTTCGTTCATATCATACGCCAGGCGTTTCCTGTTGAACTCACTTTTTGTGAATTGGCAGAAAACGTTTTTCATTTACCACCAAAACGCTCCAAACCCAAAAAGCCTTTTCAAGTCCAGGATTTCAAAAACTTGCCAGTGAACCCTTTTCCAAACCCCCCCAACCCGACCAAGTCCTTCCTGTGCCCCCCCCCCCCGCCTCCGGCACCACGTGGCCGCCCAAGACGCTGCGGCAGAGCTCGGTGAACTTGGCCACGGAGCCCAGCGGCTTGCCGCCCAGGCCCAGGCTATGCATGGCCACCAGCACCCCGAACCTCGCCCCGCCAGGGGTAGGGGTTTCCGTTTCAGGTACCCAAAACGAGTTTCCTTTGGTCTCCCTTTAAAACAAAAAAATAATGCCTCAAGAAAGAACCTGTTGGACGGGACGGGTTACTTGACCGTTACTCATATGGCAATGAATTTTCATAGGGGCCCCTGAAACGGGGGTTGGTACACACCCAAAGGTCCCCTACAAGATTCATACCCATATGGTGGGGATGCACCTCTTTAAGGTTGGACCCCAAAAACGGCTTCGGGTCTTTTTTCCTATGGTCTCTCTTTCAAAAAGGACAGTTTGGTCCGTGTGGAGGGGGAGCAAAGGGAACTGCCATTTGCCTTTCCCTGGTGTTTTTTTGTTTTGGTGGAAACTGTGGGTGTGTTTGGCCTGGACAATTTACACCCTTTTTGGGTCTCTTTGCAGGGAAACCAAAGGGAAACTGCTGTTTGTGCGGGTTTCCCGGTCAAAGGCAATTCACAGTTTCGTTTGAACCACTCTTAAACGGTTGCTAGAAATCCCCTAGTAGTCCCCTTCCTTCCCGCAAACGGAGGCAAGACACACCCACCATTCTCCAAAAAAGAGAGGAACATGGCAGGGTAGGGTTTTGCTTGGTTTCCCTGCCGGAAAAAAAAACATGCACGAGGCAGGGAGAGGCACATGTAGGAGCCCACGTCGACGAAAGTCCCTGCCACCGCGGCCTTGGGCAGCCGGAGCAGTAGCAGAATGGGCGCCCCCCAAAACTCGTAGTTCCGCCGGTAGACTCGGCGCCTGCCAGGGCCAGGCGCGATGCCGTCGGAAGGGGGGGGGGAGAGGGGCCTGGGAGAGGGCTTTGCACTCTAAGATAACATCCTCAAAAACCACCCGCAAGGAAAAAGATCGCAGGCCATAGGTGTCCTTTTTGGTTGTTTTGGTAGAAATATGGATACATTGATTTCGGTGAGACGTTGGTGATACATTTTCTTCGGTGATACAACCAAATGTACCATCTACCCATGTTTTGGTTGTTTTTGGTTGTTTCCATGTAATCATGGGGGCTGGGGAGCCCAAATAAGCCCTTATTAAGCCCCAAACAAGGCCCCGCCAAAGGCTTAAGGGCTCCCTCCCCCCCCCCGCCATGATGTCAGGAACCCGAGCCACCCCTCACTCGGCCTCCCATCCTTGTCATCGCGATTCAATCCATGGAGCCTCTCGTAGAGCTCCTCCCCGTAGGTGTCCTTGCCCCGCTGCATGCGCTCCGTGTTCCTGTCCCAAACAGGTGGGTTCTTTGGGAGGGGCCCGTTTTCGGGTTGGGTGGAAGGGGCCCCGTATTTCTGGTCGGGTTGAAGGGACCCATTTTTCAGGGTCCAAACAGGTGAGTCACAATCAAAACCACCAAGAACATGGAGCGGTTTCCCATTTGCCCACAAGAACCCAAGGGTCAAACCCACAAACCGCCAATCCAAACCACCAATTGAAGGTTGCCTGAGTCAAAACCTGGTATTAACATGGTCGACCTAAAACCATGCTTCAGGAAATATACCAAGGCGGATATCCGCAGCTGCTTCTGGCGAGGGGATTGTCCCTTACTAACCGGATCATCTACCCGGGTTTTGATTGTGGCTCTGGTGGGGTTTCAGGTCAGAAAGAAGGGACGCTAAAAGGAAAAGCACCATTTTTCAGGGTCCCCGTAGTTCTTGACACATGCCCAAAAAGGCAATTGTGTGTGTGCGCTCATTTTGGGGTTGAGATATTGCAACATGTTGTCACGTTCACTGAAGTATTCTTGAGTTTCTCATGTTCTCATACCTTATCTAAATGACTTGTCTACCTCATCATGTTGGTATGAGAATGAAAGCCGGGGGCTGAAGGAGACATCATTTATATACAGGATCATGTCCAACAATCACTTTGAAAGGTGCTCCTTCTGCAAACAAAATCATGGGCAAGAAAAATAAACACATTCATGGCCTTATTAAAGGGCAATGATGTCTCAGCTATTGAAACAGGTTGACCCAGCTTGCAGGGAGAAGGGTGTTTCCTTAAGGAAACGGCTACAACAAATCAAACGTCTCAAGCATTAGCAAAGGTTGACCACTTGTCAGGAAGAACATGAAAAAGACATGTCTCAAGATCGAAAACTGAACCCCAACAGATCACCAACGGCTGACCTAAGTTTTCAACTTCAGTGTTACCAACAAATTACTAAATGGGCCCTTCTTGGTTGGTTACAGAGATACCAAAAGCAACAAATCCAATTTGTTTTCATTTGTGGGTGTCCTCTGTACAAAAACATAGTTCTCCGTCGATGCTCTTTCAACCAACCAAAAAAAGCGCACCCCAGCCTCAACAAAAGAGACCCTCATAAGGGCCCCCCCCTCTATGGGACACCCAAAACAAGTGACGGGACCGTGGCTCAAAAAACCGGTACCAAAATGGAACCCTTGTAAGTGGAAACATGGACCAAAACCTCACCCACGGGGATACCAAATCCAAGGAACTGCAAGAACAGCTTTGTTCTTGTTGGTCCCTTTGCAGGTGGGACACCTTATGGCTTCCAAGTCCATGCAAAACAAATGCCAAACACATGTGTTTTCTCCCCGACAAAAACATGTTTGGGGACCACCCAAAGCATGGCTTCCAAGTCCTTGCACATGGCCAAAAACAACATGTGCCTTCCCCCCCTTCCCCCCAAAAAGAATAAATAAACTGTCCAGGTCAAACATTTTTACTGGCAGCGCATGGATTCTGTCCAAGTCTCTGGGTGCTGTACTTCTTGTAGCTCTGCCCCCCGTCGTTGCCGGCATCGAAGTGCGCCAGCATCGCCTCAGACAGCCGGTCCCTGGCCTCGCCCTGGATCACCGTCACCTCGACTCGGGCCCGAGGGGCGCCGGGCTGTCCGTTGGGTGAGTCCGTTTGGAGTGGGAACAACCGACCCTCCCACCCAATTAACGTCTAGGTCCTCCAGATTTGAGAGGTTAGAATAAGGGTACCAACTTTTTTTTTTCTGTAGTCTATTTAGTAGGGAAACCCTCCCCAAAAAAAGCTAGATATGGAACCTGGCGTAAAAGGGGGGGTCCTGGTTTGGAGCATTTTCCCTTTGAAGGGACACCCTGTCGGGTTCCACGTTAATTATGTGGGAAAGCTAGACGGAATTCTAAAAGGCGCAAAGGCAAGACCCTCTTTGGGTGGAATTGAATTGAATTCGATTTCCAACCAAATACCACAAACTCCAAAGGCAAAAATTCCGAAGAGGAAAAAATCGGCCAACGTCACTGCCCAGGGCTGGGAGTTGCTGTGCGAGGGCACGTGGTTGGCCGCTTGCAACACCGACTCCACCAAACACCGCGGCACAGGAGCGTCGGAGAGACTGTGGGAGCAGTGCCTCGCTCTGCGTTTCTGATTCGAGCAGATGTGAATTTCATCCTATGCTTGTCAAGGGCCCCGATCCCAATAAGGCCTATCAAGGGCCAATAGGGTTCCTTTTTGGGGGGTCCCGTCTTTGGGGGGGCCCTGACAACCACGAGATTGTGGACATCAAATTTGGAACATGCAGGTGTCCACTAACCAAGTTCCACAAGGCTCCCTATTAGAATTCGTGATCACCTCTTTACTCGTGCTTGTGCTTTTGCTTGGGGCACGTCGACCCAGCGCCAAAAGCTGCACTTTGTGTGGGGCATGGAATGAATCCAACTCTCACTCCAAACATCTAAAAGTCTACGGCTGGGAACCCATTTCTAAGGAACCTCCTCTTGGAAAATGGAGCCCCTCCCTTTTTGGGGCTTCCCATGTTCACTCGCATGAGAGTGAATATATGTTCAAGCATCTGATACTTAACCGCGGTTCCTAGAGTACTCTCAACACGACCTCTCCAAATGATTGCTCTTTCGTTTTGGTCTGGAAGAAAAATGTTTAAACACCTCGGAAGAGCCAGGTGCCTCAGGCCAAAAACCTCAGGCAACTGTAAAAAAAATAATGAAACGCGCAAAGCGAAATCGGCCTTTAAATATTCCCATGCTGTCCCTTTAAACCCGACGGCATGCTCTCAAAAATACGGGAACCGCACTCCCTCACACTTCCGGCCTTCTCCTAATCGCCCTCGTAGAAAAACAAAATACCACCAAACAGGGGCGCCACTACTTCCAAATCAGGGAACCCCACTCCCCTGAACAGCAGAAAAAGAAAAACACACCTCAACATATGCCTCTATATATATATATATATCTACATAACATGGGGCGCCCCTCCCAAAAAAAGAAGCGCCGCACGGCTCCTTTTCGGACGCGCCCGTCGTCTTTTCGGAGCCTCGAGGCCACCAGCTCCAGCAAGCCCCGCTCCTCGCCCGGAGACGCGGGCGCCGGCGCCGGCGCCGCGGCGAAGGCGCGATCGTCGCAGCACCACCTGAGCAACGCCAACGGCCGTGAGAGCGGCCGGGTGAAGAAAAAAAAAAGAAAGGCCCCCTCAGGAAACAAAAGAAGAAAGAAAACCCAAAGGGTGGCAATGATAAGACCCGAAAGGCCCTCTCAGCAGAAAAAGGTCTGATCTGATGCCAAAAAGGTGAAGGCGGCAACAACAAAGCTCCCGATTAGAACCAAAAAGGTCGAAAACAAACCAACAAACAAAACAAAACAAAAGAAGAGAACAAAAAACAACACAAACCACCGCGTACCCCTCAAAACACTTGCCCTCCGTTCAGTCCGGCGGCGTGATCTCCGCCGCGGTTGGCGCGGGAATTTCGGTGGGAGCCTCGGGCCAGCCGAGGCTCAGGCCGCAGACCACGAAGAGGTCCTCCTCCAGCGCCAGCACCTTGCGGCGCAAAACCAAAACGCGCTCGCAAAAAAGCGCCGGGGGAGAGAGAGAGATTTGGGTAGGGTCGCTATTCTTGTTTCAAGGGGACCCCCAAGAAAGAAAAAAAGGAAGGAAGGAAGAAAGAAGCAAATGACGTTAGGCTTCCGTCTTGCTGGTTGACCGGCTGCGCTGCCTAGAAAGGAATGACAGGAGGCTGGCAACCGTTTCCCAGCACAATAAAAGCAGCGCATCAGCATTATACCATAGAAGGTTTCAGCCGACAGGAAGAAAAGACCTCCCAATTGAGCCAAACATGGGCAGGAAGGCGCGGCGGACAAGCCGCTGCCGTAATGGGGAATTAACAACGCTGCCAACTGTGCAACTGCCAAAAACACAAACATGGGAAAATGGTCTGGCAAAGTGCCGGGACCCATTTCTGAGGTTGGTTAACAGGAAAACCGAAAGGACATCATCCCCCAGGGGTTGAGCGAGTGTAACGGCCATTGCTTAAGCGGATTCATCATCTAAAGCAAGTCCCAGGTCCGTTCTTATGTGGGTTGAATCCTAGGCACTTTTCAGCCCCTGGTGTAATTGACTACAAAACGTACTCACTGGATGGCCAATCCAAAGGATGTCCGGGCGCACCTTTTTTAAGGGTTCCCTTTGAACGTCTAGTCGTTCCCCCTCAACCCCCCCCCACCCAAGCGGGTTCTCAAGAAATCAGCGAACCCCGAAAATGGAGGGTCTTCCTTTTGGTTTCTGATTGAGTTCCACCAGAAGGGCGGAATTCAACACAAAAGGGCTTCCCTTTAAAGCAGCCGCCAAAAGGTTTCGGTGACACCACGCCAAACGCGGGCGCCACGCGCCGGTCACGTTGACCGGGAGCCTCGCGGTAGGTCGCGTTGAGCTTCGCCGAGAAGTGCACCCGGGCCCCGAGGCCCAGGTCTTTGGCGCCGAAGAGGAGGGCCATCAGCGCGGAGCCGAGGTCCAGGAAGACCCCATCCACCGGGGGATCCTGAGTGGTTGACTCCAAAAATGGACGCAGGAGAGGAGGGGCTGAAGAGAAGGGTTGACTATAACTCCGGAGGAAAGGGGTTGACTCCAGAGAGGGGTTCAAGGACTTTGGGGACGAAACCATCATCAGCTTCCAATATTCTGCCCCTTGAAACTGGTCTAAACTTGGGGGCAAAGGGAAGGCCTGGTTTTGAACCGACCAATTTGGGCTATTTGGGCACTGCTCACTTGGTTAAGCCAACCCGTTTTCAGACGTGCTTCAATGCATTCAGCTCAAATGACCAGTTGGTTGCATTGCAGGATCCACTCCGCCGCAAAAAAAAAAAAAAACGCATGTGACAAAGTGCTTGACGTCCACTTTGGAGGGGATGCCTTCACCTGGACCTCCGCTCAACCAAGTCGCCTCCGTGAGGCAGGGGCCCACTGGGGCACACAGCGCCAGGTGCAACGGCGCGCCCCAGAACTCGCAGCCCTTCCGCTGGCCAGTGAGAGATTCCTCATAGGCGCGAACCTGAAGTTCAGACTGAAGGTTTCGAAGACTCCAAACAAAGCCTGCGGACCTGTTCACGTTCCAAAGACTCGTGTCACCGTGAGACAATGAGCGTAGGCTGTTCCCAAGCAAACTGTTCCAACGCCGAAAGAACCCGAAGGAAACCAAACTGGAGGAGCCTCGTTGTCAGACACAACTGACATTTCCCTCGCCTGCTTCGCCATACGCTCGGGCATGTTCTTGGGGAGATCCTCAAAGAGCGCAGTGCCCTCCTTCCCCGCGTCGTGGTTCTGCAAGAATCTCTCGGCCAGGAGGTCCCTCTTTTGACCTCCGGATCTCTGGAAGCTGTCAGATGTGTTGGTTTTCTGTTTGTTTTTTTTGTTTGAAGCTGTCAGACAAACACAACTTCTTTGCATGGCAGAAATATTGAAGGCACCATGGTTTCTATGTTGTCTTGAGCCCATTGAGTATGTCTACATGTATACTATTTGTTGCCCTTCCCCTTTCAACCAACCTCAAAGGTATTGTTATACACTTTTAACCACCTAAACACCAAGCAACCGCTTCGTAGTCGGCGAGTGCCCACAAAACACACTTCAAATCCTTGCCAAACCTTCGAATTCCCTTCAACCAGCACAAAAACCGTACCCTGAAGAAAAGAGAAGGAAACAACAAGTGACCCTCCGCGCCATTCCCTTGATTGACCCATTATTTTTCCGCCACCGACAAAAGCCGATACACCGCTTCCGCCTTGCACCACCGCCACGGTCCAGGGCTGCGTGTTGGCAGAGGACGGGACGCTCGCAAGACCTTCCAAGAGGCGGCTCACCACCTGCTTCGCGGAAAAACGAGAAACTTTGTCCCCTTTTTTTCTAAGGGTTGATTCCCCATTCTTTTCGACCATCGTTCTTGTCAAAAACCGGCTGTTTCCCCTAGGTTTTTGATGGTTTCCTGCAAAGAAGGATCCCTGGAAAGAATGGAGAATGGTTTCAGCGGGAGTTTCTTACCTGTAATAGGCACCCCTGTTTTCCCTGTGGCTTGTAATTACAGGAACCCCTTGACTCCCTTTTGGTTCGGGGAAATCAAAAGAGGCAGGAGTTTTGGTTGCCAAACCAGCGGTGGGGTCAACAGAACCGCCATTTCAGGGCAGGAGTCTCAGGATCTAAAAATGCCCAATTCCCCCCCCCCCCGGTTGGCTTTACTGGGAAACCAAAAAGTAAACCTACCATTTTGGGGGGTCTCATTTTAAGATACACCCAGTGACTCATTGTTCTCTTTTTTGCGGGGTCCCTTTAAAATAATCGAACCAGCATGGACATTTGGTTCGTCCAGCAACAGTGGTCCAGGCTGGCACTTTCAGTTTGCGCACAGCGTGCCCTCACTTGGCCCTCCTATGTCAGCAACAGTCATAATCGATTGTTAGTTTGGCAGGACATGGGGACCTGATTTTGGAACACCCCCAAAACAAACACAAGAGAATCTGTCGGTATAATTCTGCAAACCCCCGTCCAAATAGAAAAAACACACACAAAACAAAACAAGAAAGACAAACCATATATTTACGGCCCGCAGCTCGTCAAAAGAGAGACACGCGTACAAATCGTCCGGTGACTCTTCCCCTGCGCTCAAGTCGAGCTCGCTCCCAGAGCCGCGCCGCGCCTTCCGCGGCACGGGGACGGACTGGAAGCCGCTGCAGGGCGCCAGCGAGCGCATCTGCTGCAGGCCCTTCGGCTCCTTCTCCAAAAGCGACATGGCCCGCCGCAACGTGGCCAGGTGGTCCTGGGGGGTGGAGTCTAGGACCCCCCCGTGTTCCGTGACTTAAAACGGGATGCCAAAAGGGAACAAAAAAAGAAACGGCTCCAGACGAAACTTCTATTTGGATGGTTTATAAAGGTCCATGTGAATCTGCAGGCAGGTAAGTTTGTTTCTGACGTGTGCAATTCAGGCAATCTTACTTGAGGGGCAATAGTTGCATCAAATAGCTTGGTTGATGGCTTGGTTCGATGTTTGATCAGCAATTTGCTCATCCGCCGGCACACTTTGTTAATTGACCCACCTTCTGCAAGGAATGGACCACCTCCCGGACTTCCTCCGGGCTCGCTTTCTCCAGCGAGGCTCCAGAACCCATGGGTTGAGCCGAAAGCCTTGCAAGTGGACATGTGGCATACTGGATGCTCGTGAACAGGGCCCCACATGTGTTCACGAAAACATGTTTGAGCCTCGCAACTCGAACAGCACCTGCTGATGTACACCTCAAGCACACCTACATGTATGTATATACGTGTATATAGATGCAACGCATACGCAGGCAAGCACGCGCACGCAACATACATATACAGTTATATATATATATATACATATATATATATATATACACACATACATGTATGTCATATGTGTGTGTACGCGCATATGCATGCATGCATGTTTAAACTTACATCATGCCTGCAATGACAAACACCCTTTGGCCGTTCATCAACAAAACCGGGCATTCTCCGCGTGCTATCACGCAGCGTGCTGCAAATGACTGTTTCAACTGTTTCTTTGGTTTCACGTGTCCAACAAAACGTCTTCGTGAGCCGAAACCTACCCATCCGTTGCACCAACGGAGCGATTGAAATCATCGCTCTCCTTTCCGCGCTAATAACAAGGGGATGCTCACAGCTTCAAGTGACACATGGTCCAAATTATTGGTGCGATTGGTTCACGGCTGGTGTCTGTTTGTTTTTGCACGAGCAAGAGGAACATGATTGGCAAGTGGAAGTTGTTTGGGAGTCATCATGTCCATTTTGTTTGCTGAAAGTATTCTCACGAAGCGACCGCGCACTTGTTCGTGAGCCAAAAAAAACACGTTAAAGGCCTGGTGCACTGTTCCTAACCTTAACTCCCTCAAACCGCAACAAAGTCGACCGACAGAGGCGCAAACCTTTTTATCGGGTTGCTTGGAAGGTCTGACCAGGGCACGCGGCGCACTGGACACAAGGAGCAAGGATATTCTTGCTTGGTAAAGTGCCAAACGCGAGGCGCGACAAGCGGGACGCGCGGGTGGGGAGGGCGGGTTTTAAAACGAAACCAGAACTGCTTGTCCAGGAGCACAAAATGGCAGCGGCACGAGATTCACACCAGGCCTAAAACACAAGTGAAAAGAAAACCCTAAGCGTTAAAGGTGCACTAACCCAACAAAGTGGAACGACAGAGGCGCACGCCCTTTTTTATCGGTTGCTTGGAAGCACTGTGACCAGGGCACGCGGTGCGCCTGGACACAAGGGCGAGGAGATTCCCCTCCTTCGGCACTTCCAAAGCAACCATGGAAAAGCCCACGCATCTGTACTCTTGGCGCATCCAGTCCACTGGGCATAGCTCAAGGCCTTTGCCGGCTTGCGCCAAGGCCTGAAAGGCTAAAGTTGCAGCCGGGTTAAAATGAACTTAAGGTCCTCAAGGCCGGCCAGAACTGCGTCCAGAGACAAAAAAAGGTTTTTGAGGTGCTTAAAGTAAGGAAGTGCAGCCTATAGTACCATGAAAAAATGCTGTTTTGGCCCCAAAAAGGAGGCATAATCGGCACTTGTTCGGCCAATGTCCCTCTTGTCCCCCTGCTTGCCCCTGCTTGTCCTCGGCTTCAGCGGGCTGGAAAAAGGGCACCAAATGCTCCGTTTCATAAAAAGTAGCGGGGGGGTTGGGATGACGATCGAAAAATGATGATTCAATTAGGGGCCAAATGTCTAAAAACTAGGGGCGCCAACCCACAAAAAAACCACAAAAGCCGAAAAGCAACCCACCCTGAAAGAAAATAATCAATCATACAAAAACAAAATTCTAAAGAAAATTGCCCTCCATTAAACCACAGGGAAGTTGAGAGGGGCGGCAGCTTCCCCCATGCTGCGCGAAGAAGCGATGATTGTAAATGATGCGCAAAAACAAACAGCGGGGGGGAGTCGGCAACCAGCGGAAGGCTGGCATGATGCGCGAAGCAGCGATAAGTTGTAAATGATGTGCGAAGACAAATAGCAGGGGGCTGCGGGGGCGGCAGCCTGTGGGAGACACCAAGGCAATCCTGTGCTGACCAGGGTTGAGTGGAGCAATTCTGCGTTTAAAGGATTGAGTGGAGCAATCCCGTGGCCACAGGATTGAGTGGAGCAATTCTGTGCCCAGCGCGGCGGTGCGTTCATCCTGCTGGAGTAGTAGTAGTAGTAAGGGAAGAAGGCTTATACGGACCAATTAATTTTCGCATTTGGGTCCCAAAACCCTGCAAAACAGCCAAATTCTTCAACCAGCTGAACGTTTTTTCAATGTCACCGGTCTTCGTCACCGCTCCGTTTTTGGTGCAAAAAGCGCTCAAAACGGCCAACTCCGAAAAGTTCGTTTTTTCGTGTCAGACGTCAAAAGTGGTGCCTGAGCCTCCAAATTCGCTCGTTTTCCGCCGAAAACCGGCTCCAGACGTTCGCCGTGCTTCGAATTCCGTTTTCTGCCCCGAAAAGCCTGCGAATTCCAGCCCGCCGAGCTCGTCACCGCTTGTCACCGCTTTGTCACCGCTCGCTTTTTGGTCGCAAAAGTGCGCAAAAGCGGCAGTTCCGGAACTTGTTCTCCGCAGGGTTTTCCGCGGCCCAACAGCCCGCCGAGGACCTGGCTCGGAGCCCGACAGCCCGCCGAGGTTTCGGCCTGCGGTCCGTCAACCCGCCAAGCTTGTCACCGCTGATGTCACAGTAGTAAGGAAAGGCTGCTTATAGGGACCAATTAATTTTCGGATTTGGGTCCCAAAACCCTGCAAAACAGCCAAATTCTCCAACCAGCTGAACGTTTTTCCGACGTCACCGGTCTTTGTCACCACTCCGTTTTTGCGCTGAAAACGGCGAACTCCGAAAAGTGCGTTTTTTCGTGTGCGGCGTCGAAAGTGGTGCCTGGGCCTCCAAATTCGCTCGTTTTCCTCCGAAAACCGGTTCCATGCGTTCGCCGTGCTCCGAAATCCGTTTTCTGGCCCGAAAAGCCTGCGAATTCCAGCCCGCTGAGCTCGTCACCGCTTGTCACCTGGCTCGGAGCCCGACAGCCAGCCGAGGTTTTCCATGTAACACGTCAGCCTGCTGAACTAGTCACCGCCGATGTCACCGGTCTCTAACACGTCAGCCCGCCGAGGTACCGGGGTGGAATCGAACCTCCGAAACGCTCCGGAGACCAACGCCTAAGCCATCTCACCATCGGCTCTTGTTACCGTCCCAAAACGGCGCTTTTTGGCAAAAACGGTCTCACCGCGATGTCACCGCTTCGTCACCACTCTCTTTGGGGCCGAAAAGTGCGCAAAAGCGCCCCAGTTCCCGAGAGGACACGGTTCTTGGCAAGTTTGAGTCAATAATGGAACCGGGTGATTCATCAATGGCTCATGAATGGGCAAGGTTGGTTCATGAATGGGCAAGGTTGGTTCATTAATGGGCAAGGTTGGCTCATGAATGCCCCGCAGGTCATAGCCGCTGAGACCGACGCCATCGGTCAATTCATCAGAGGTCTCATAAGTGAAGGACCTCGCACACTTCGTGTACAGGTAGGGGCTGTCGCGAGATGATATATAATTATACCACCCTGCGCCACGAAGGCCCCGAATGACCCATAGCGACTCAAGTGAGGGCGCGTTGCGAGCCCCATTGCTACTCCTAAGAAAACATGTTTGAAGGACCTGTCACGGGCAACATCCCGGAGGTCCTGGACAACGGAGAGGTGACTGACGGCACGCACGTCACAGCAGGACAGCTGGCCCTCGCTCTGCTCTGACTCCCTACGCTCAAGTAACTGACCTGGCGGTGAACACGGCAGCCTCCGGCAACAACGCCGCTGCCATCCAGTCCCTGGACGACCGAGTCACCGCCGAGCTGGCCTCAAAGCTGGACAGCAGCGCGCTGGCGCCGGCAATTGCGCCCCTAGCAACGGCGGCCCTGGCCACCACGGACGGCCAGGTGGCCGCGCACGGAAGCAGCATCGCCGCGCTGCACCACGGGTCTCTCCAACAAGGCAGACCAGTCAGCCTTCGACGTGCTGGAGGGCGTGGTGGCCACTAAGAGCACCCCGGACGGCGTGGACTTGAAGCTGTCCAACTACAGCACCACGGCGGCCATGAACGGCTCCATCGCCTCGGCCAACAACGCCACGCTGGCCACGGTGGCCGCCAACTACGTCTCAAGCCGAGACGCCTCCATCTCGGGGCTGCAGGCCTCCAAGGCAGACGCCAGCGCCTGACTGCTTACGCCCTGCAGTCGGCCGTGGACACTTCCTCGGTGGTGGACTCTAAGATAGCAGCCCTCTTGGACGCTGTCACCACGGCAGCCCTGGACGCCGCCCTCCTCGGCAAGGCGGACGCAAGCGCGCTGGCCTCCCTGCTCTCCACGGTGGACGGGTTGGACACGCCGCTGGAGGTAGACACCAAACAGCAAATGCCCTGCTGGGTCTTGCCACCGAGGCCTTCGTCGCAGCGCAGCTTGCTAGCCGGGACGCCAGCATCACGGCGCTCCAGGGGGCCAAGGCCGACGCGACGCTGGCCTCATACGCCACGAACGCCGCGCTCTCGGCCAGCGAGACCACGCTCCAGAGGCCCTTGACGCAATCCTCCGCCCTGCAGCTTTCCGGCAGCGGAGTTGTTAACGCGCCGGCCTGGGCGGGCTTCACGACTTGGGACCTCGTTCGCGGAAGCAACGTCGTTCGCAACCTGCATCTGGGGGCTCCTCTCTCTGCTGCAGCAGCCCTGCTGGCCTACTACACCTCGGCGCAGGTAGACGCGCTGTTGGGAGACTAAGTAGTAAGGAACATCTGCTTATAGTCCCCTATTCTTTTTCGGATTTTGGCCAAAAAACCCTGCAAAACAACCAAATTCTTCAACCCGCTGAACGTTTTTCCGATGTCACCGGTCTTTGTCACCACTCCGTTTTTGGTGCAAAAAGCGCTGAAAACGGCGAACTCCGAAAAGTGCGTTTTTCGTGTCCTGCGTCAAAAGTTCTGCCTGGGCCTCCAAATTCGCTTGTTTTCCTCCGAAAACCGGCTCCAGGTGTTCGCAGTGCTCCGAAATCCGTATTCTGCCTCGAAAAACCTGCGAATTCCAGCCCGCTGAGCTTGTCACCGCCGAAGTCACCGGTCTATAACACGTCAGCCCGCCGAGGCACAGCCCAGAGTCA